AGAATTCAATGAATAGTTCTCAGGCCTGGGTTCACAGAATTGCTTGAGTGTGAGAAATCAGCATAGGTAAGAAACATTCCTGTGCAATTTTGATGGATCAGTGTTTTTTTAACCCTCACCTCTCCTCCCTCATCTTTGCTGCCTAAAACCTACGTACACACGGAAGCGGTTTTGATCCTTCCTTTATCAATCGATTCTGCCTTTGATTGATCATTCCTTTGATAGATTATCCTTCCTACGATCAGTCGATCCTTCCTTTGATTGATTGATCCTTCCTTTGATCGATTGAAGGATTGATTGATCAATTGATAGAAAGGTCGGTTGATTGATCGAAGGAAGGGTCAATCAAACAAAGGAAAGATCAGTCGAAGGAAGAGTCAGTCTGTCGATCAGTCGATCGAAGGAAGGGTTGATCAATCAATCAATCAAAGGAAGACTCCAAAATCGCAGCTGTATCAAAATCAATGGATGAAGGATGACCAGGGAGGAGAGGTGAGGGTTTAAAAAAATCACTGAAACATCAAAGTCATATAGAAATGCTTTTTATCAATGCTGACAGGACTTGTGAGATAGCATAGAAGTCTATGGGACTGAAATTGCACCGAAGTCCACCAGGAACATTTTCCAAAATAGCACTGTGCTCAGTTGATTAGAAGGGCAGCATTGAATATATTGTGATTTCCCTTGTCATGTGATTCTGTAAACTGGGGTTTGAGAACTTCCCATAGGTGTGTTACATTTTTGGTGCTTTTTGATGTGTATGTTTTGGTGTGTTTTTTTTTTTTACCGGACCAAACATGCACCAAAAATACATCAAGCAGGATTTTTTTTTAACCGCACCTGAAGCGCGACAGACCAGTGTGAAGAGCTACATAGGATTTAAATGTGTACAGTTTTCTTGCACTTTTTCTAACTGAAAAATGCACCAAAAGTGGATCAGTGTGAAAGCAGCCTAAGGTTCAACTGTAAGGAATATATTCAAATGTCATTTTTTGTGCACACAGTGCAGCTTCTGATACTGTTATTGTTAAGTTACAAAACAATAAAAATAATGAAAAATAAAATGATCCAAGGAGCGCTCTAGAGCTGGTTGCTCCACAAACTGACTTGGGGCCATGGCTCCACCCCTCTGTAATTATAATAGTGGGTTTTTTTTTTTTTTTTTTTTTTTTTAGGGAGAGGCTCAGTGTTTAAAAACATTTTTTAAAGGTGGCTCTACCGTCCACCTCCATTCTGGCTTAGGCCAAAACGACGTGTCATGCCCCAGAAGCCTCTCCTTTAAAGTGGTTCTAAAGTTGAAAAGGTTTTTTATTTTAATGTATTCTATGCTTTAAAGTGTCACTAAAACCACAACAGTGAAATCTGTATGTGGAGTAAAGCATGCTTGTTCTACTCACTGTGGAACCTAAGGGGTTAATCTTCCGCACTGGGTAAAATGGCTGTTTAATCGTGTCTTTTCTGATCCTCCCCTTCTCCTGCTGTCCCCAATCCATCTGCTGATAGTACAGAGCTCTAGGAGTCACTCTGCATATGCTCAGTTTAGTGTGTACGGCTAGATAGTTATTTCTTTCTTTGGGAGGGTGCATGTGCTCAGCACAGGGCCAATCAGCACTGTCCAGACAGAGAGTCAGGGATCATGCAGCCTCATAAGACAGTCAGAGCAGAATGAAAACTCATCCTACAAGATTAACCAGTGCTCAGCTGGACACTGATAGAAGTCACTAAAAACACTGTTTGATCCTGACTTCTCTGATTCTCCCCTTCTTCCAGTGCCCCCCTCTTATCTTCTGATCAGGGGCAGACTGACCATTTGGAAACTCGGGCACTGAGTTGGTAGATTTATATTCTGTTTGCACTGCATTTATTTCTGAAAAAAATGTAATCCATGTGCACATCCAGTGACAAAAATGCTTATTTCAGTATAAAACAAGCTGTGTGCAATTACTGGATGTGTAATTATCATCTTAATTAGAATGAAATACTGAAAATGTGTCCAAAAATGCAAGTAGAGGGTAAAGGGCTAGTCACTAGTAGGGATGAGATTCGGGTTGAGGAGAACATTGGGTTCAAGGAGAGCCCAGTCTGTCCAAGGTTTATGGACCCACCAAACTAATTTGGCAGTTTAGTAGCCTGAATTAATTGTAATGATAATGCATTGCATGGGATTTTGAACTTTGGTCAGCTGGTTTAGAAGGGCCAGTAATGGGAGTTTTGCTATGTGCCAGACCCATATTTGGTCCATAACATCACCCAGGACTCCTGGTTGTCTGTTTACATTACCATAGCCTGGGATCTGTTATTGATCGTTGGGAGTGCGGTGGGCAGAGACGGACTGACCATCTGGAAACTCGGGCACTGCCCGAGGGCCTGGGGTCAGTAGGGGGCCCCATGAGATGCCCCTGGTACCTTTCATAGGCTTTTTTGAGTTTGGGCAAGGACACAGGGGCCCCATGATCCCCTATTGCCCGGGGGCCCCAAGAGTTGTCAGTGCGCCCCTGTTTCTGATAAAACATATCATGTGGAGTCAGTTCAGCTTGGTGTGTATTGCTAGAGAGGTAGATTAACCAGTGCTCAGCTGGACACTGAAGTCACAAGGGGGGAGCAGGTACCTGGTTTTGACTTACAGCCCTCTGGGACACTACACAGATCCCAGAAGACTGCGTCCCTTTCGCTTGGTGCATGCTCAGTAGAAGACTGGATGTGAAGCCGCAAGGCTTTAGTTTTGGTTTCCCTTACTGAAGATGCTAGCGCCAGCTGATTGAAGAATCAACTCTGGTGGGAACATTGCAGGATCCCTGGACAGGTAAATGCCCTTACATTAAAAGTTAGCAGCTACAGTATTTGTAGCTGCTGACTTTTAATTTTTTTTTGGGGGGGGGGGCCTGGAAGCTCTGCTTTAAAAAGTTATAAAACTTCCCTGGAGCTGCTGGAAACTAAAATATCACCCTGGATATTAGGAATACAAGAAAAAAAGTGCAGCACTCACGTGTAAACCTGCCTGAGTCATATACCAACTCAAGTGTAAAAACTCATAAATATGCAGAAGTGACTCCCAATCAGAAAACACACGAAAACCTTGTAAATCATAATATTCCAAGCCTCAGTGAATAATATTTTTCCAGAGAGAATGTTTACAATTTAAAAACCAGCATTACAGCGCACCTCCCTCTTCCTTATAAAACAAGAAATTCTACGCACCAAAAAAATTATTATTATTCAGGATTTATATAGCGCCAACAGTTTGCTCAGCGCTTTACAAAATGAAGGCGGACATTACAGTTACAATACAATTTGGTACAGGAGGAAACAGAGGGCCCTGATCCTGAGAGCTTACAATCTAAGAGGAAGGGTTGAGTGACACAAACGGTAATAGCTGTGGGGGGAATGGGCTGATGGAGGAAAATAAAAAGCAGTTTACTAGGTAGAAGCAGGATAGGTTTCTTTAAAGAGAAAGGTTTTCAGGGACCAGGGGCGGACTGACCATCTGGAAACTCGGGCACTACCCGAGGGCCCAGGGTCAGTAGGGGGCCCCTGGTATCTTTTTCATAGGGTTTTTTGAGTTTGGGCAAGGACACAGGGGCCCCATGATCCTCTATTGCCCGGGGGCCCCATGAGCTGTTAGTCCGCCCCTGTCAGGGACCGTCTAAAGGTGACAATGCATTTCAGTACAGAAGGAATAGGAGGTACCTGCTTGTGGAGTTTACAATCTAATATACACATTATTATACAAAAACGATATAATAGTTTTTTCAATCAGTGCTCCAAAATACAAAGAGACACTAACATCAGCACTATAGTGCAGCTCCCCCTCTTACAACACATTGTAATTCATATAACACCTAATAATCGCTCCTATATGTAATCCTAAAGTGTTACTAAACCCACAACAGTAACATCAGTCTGTAGATGCAGTAAAGCATGCTTGTTATACTCACTGTGGAACCTAAGGGGTTAATCCTCCACATTGTGTAAAAAGACTGTTTGATCCTGACTTCTCTGATCCTCCCCTTCTTCCAGTCTCCTCCTCTTATCTCTTGATAAGACTCGTGTGGAGTCACTACACCTGTTCAGTTTGGTGTGTATTCTTTGGAGGGTGCATGAGATCAGGACAGTGCTGTCCAGACAGAGATCAGGGGTTCTGCATCCTCCTAGAGCAAAATTAAAACTCCTACAAGCGTTAACCTGTGCTGTGTATTGCTAGATAGTTTTTTTTTTTTCTTTGGCAGAGTGCATGTGATCAGCACAGGGCCAATCAGAACTGGCCAGACAGAGATCAGGGGTTCTGCACCCTCCTAGAGCAAAATGAAAACTCCTACAAGTTTTAACCTGTGCTGTGTATTGCTAGAGAGGTTTTTTTTTTCTTTGGCAGAGTGCATGTGATCAGCACAGGGCCAATTAGAACAGGGGCTGCAGCGCCATAGGGAAGAATGAAAACTCTTCCTACAAGCTTTAGTCAGTTCTCTGCTGAACACTGATAGAGACCAGATATAGTGAATGCAGGGTCCTAGGAGACCAGATATAGTGAATGCAGGGTCCGGGGAGACCAGATATAGTGAATGCAGGGTCCAGGGAGAGTGGATATAGTGAATGCTGGGTCCGGGGAGAGCGGATATAGTGAATGCAGGGTCCGGGAAGATCAGATATAGTGAATGCAGGGTCCGGAGAGACCATATATAGTGAATGCAGGGTCCGGGGAGAGCGGATATAGTGAATGCAGGGTCCAGAGAGACCAGATGTAGTGAATACAGGGTCCGGGGAGACCAGATATAGTGAATGCAGGGTCCGGAGAGACCAGATATAGTGAATGCAGGGTCCGGGGAGACCGGATATAGGGAATGTAGGGTCCGGGGAGACCAGATATAGTGAATGCAGGGCCTGGGGAGACCAGATATAGTGAATGCAGGGTCCGGGGAGACCAGATATAGTGAATGCAGGGTCCGGGGAGACTGGATATAGTGAATGCAGGGTCCTGGGAGACCGGATATAGTGAATGCAGGGTCCGGGGAGACCAGATATAGTGAATGCAGGGTCCGGGGAAGACCAGATATAGTGAATGCAGGGTCCGGGGAGAGCGGATATAGTGAATGTAGGGTCCAGGGAGACCAGATATAGTGAATGCGGGGTCCGGGGAGAGCGGATATAGTGAATGTAGGGGTCCGGGGAGACCAGATATAGTGAATGCAGGGTCCGGGGAGACCAGATATAGTGAATGCAGGGTTCTGGGAGACCAGATATAGTGAATGCAGGGTCCTGGGAGACCAGATATAGTGAATTCAGGGTCTGGGGAGACCAAATATAGTGAATGCAGGGTCGGGGAGACCAGATATAGTGAATGCAGGGTCCGGAGAGACCAGATATAGTGAATGCAGGGTCCGGGAGACCAGATATAGTGAATGCAGGGTCCGGGAGACCAGATATAGTGAATGCAGGGTCCGGGAGACCAGATATAGTGAATGCAAGGTCTGGGAGACCACATATAGTGAATGCAGGGTCCGGGAGAGACCGGATATAGTGAATGCAGGGTCCAGGGAGACCAGATATAGTGAATTCAGGGTCTGGGGAGACCAGATATAGGGAATGTGGGGTCCAGGGAGACCAGATATAGTGAATGCAGGGACCGGGGAGACCAGATATAGTGAATGCGGGGTCCAGGGAGACCAGATATAGTGAATGCGGGGTCCGGGGAGATCAGACATAGTGAATGCAGGGTCCTGGGTTTAGTAACACTTTAAATCGCATAGAGGGTTCTTTACTGTTAGAGTGGTAAGGATGTGAAACTCCCTTCCACAATCGGTGGTGTCAGGGAGAAATGTTGATAATTTAAAAAAAATGTTTAGATGGGCATCTTAGTGAACACAATATAAAAGGATATGGGAACTAGTAGAGAGATAATTATATACACACCCACTCAAGTTGAACTGGTATGTGAATGCGGGGTCCAGGGTTTAGTAACACTTTAACCTCCCTGGCGGTCTGATTATTTCAGATTTTTGGTGCTGAAAGCGGTACCATTATTTTGCATGGAAATATGTAGTTTTTTTATTGTAGGCCTGTAATTTTTAGGAATAACTCACTGAAATCTGTCCGAACAAGAGCCTAGTAAACATCCCGGGGAGGATAAAACTTGAAACACGAAATCATAAATTATAATTTAATAAATAATCATAAAAAATAATAATATAATAATAATACATTTAATTCAATAATATAATCAAACCAAAAACACTGAAATTTGAAATATAGCGCCAAGTTCGCACATCACTGAGCAAAGTCGCAGAATCGTTTTCAGTGTCTGATGACGAATTTCCCCCACGAGTCATTATCACTCAATTCTGCAAGTGGTTCTGATTTACTATCGCTGTTCTCTAGCGGTCTAAAACCGATTTTAACCTAAAGGGACGCTTTTTGGATGCCATGGACGTTTCTCAGTTTCCAGGCAGAAAGAACAGACAAAATGCAGGCAGGGCGCCGGACAAAGCACTCGGGACAAAATGTATGTGAAATGGTTTGAAACAGCAATGTTTTACTATGTTTGGAAAAAATATGACATTTTAAAAAATTTTAAAATTTCCCGCCGCCGGCGGCGCCTGTACGTCCCGACATCACAGGGACCGGAACACAGAAGCCGGATGCCGGCATCGGCCGAAGGAGATGGCCGGGGACGCTGCAGGGGACACATCGTGGGAACGAAGGACAAGGTAAGTGCTGCAGGGAATCCCTATGCAGCGCTGCATGGTAAGCCTGAGTGTAGCTCGGGGTTACCGCTTTTGGCACTGACATTTTACCCCGAGCTACACTCGGGAATACCGCCAGGGAGGTTAAAAAGGGTACTTGAAGGTGATAGCAGAGACTAGAGCAGTGGTTCTCAACCTTCCTAATGCTGTGACCCTTTAATACAGTTCCTCATGTTGTGGTGACCCCCAACCATAAAATTATTTACCCAGCAATTATAATTCATGAAGTGTCATTTTACCTCCAATACTGCTGCTTTCAACACAGTAGCTGCTTTTAACAGAGTAGCTGCTTTCAACACAGCAGCTGCTTTCTACATAGTAGCTGCTCTTTACACATCGGAAATATGTGTTTTCTGATGGTCTTAGGGGACCCCTGTGAAAGGGTCGTTCGACCCCCAAAGGGGTCGCGACCCACAGGTTGAGAACCACTGGACTAGAGGTACACTCACTGCTTTGCATGCTAACTCTGTCCCAACTTTGAAGCAGTTTGGGAACAGTGGGATCTTTCCAATTCCGATTTGCCTTCTCAGTTGTCTGAAAATGATGATTAATTCACTGTTATGTATTGACATTGTCTGTACCTATATTCCTCCCATCAATGAGTGTTTTTCTCTGTTCTTTTATTGCTTTGTGCTTGTTATTTCACGATTCTATGCAATTCTGTTTGTTGTAAGCATTTAAAAATCAATACAAAGAAAATTATAATAAAAAAAAGGATACTAACACCTGATTATACATGTTTGTATCTGAGCTTGGTGAGTCAAGGGGCACTCTTCTGCGGTACATTTTGACTTTTTTTCTGGAGTTGCTCCTAAAAAGTATATTGGGGGAGGGGGTAGAACATAAGTATACTTATTTTAGCATGATCTATTTGGCAAGTTGAATGTTTTCGGCCTGTACCATTGTGCTTTATGTTCTATTGATTTGTAGTTTGTTTTCTTTAAGGTTCTATTTCCACATACAGTGCTTTCCTATGTTTTCTTTTTGTCACTGTCTGCATTGTAAAAACGATTATTACCTGATAGTTACCAGTACATTGTTTTTTGTGCTGGAAATTTTTATGTGATCACTAAATTCTGTGTGTCTGGAAGATAATTAGGGTATTTTTTTTATCGGGGTCAGTGACAAACTAGCAATATGAACAACATGACCTCAGTGCTAGAGCAAGAGACTTCAGTAAATGTGCTTAGCCGCAGAGAATCAATACGGCTGTTTCGCTGGCAGATCATTACTTTTTTTCTTGTACTTTTTCTAAAGTTAATTGTTACTTCTGCATGTTCTAATCACATTCCATTTTGACAGCTATAGCTTTTCTATATAAGCTATAATTAAATATGATCATAAGTTTGGTTTTTCCTTTGTATGCCTACACAATGTTCACTCGCACCTCCACAATTTACTTCCGTTTTCAATATCCTTTTCATGATATCATACTGTACCTGTCTCCGCAATTATTTGGGTGATTGGATGAAACACATTTGATACTTTTTTTTAATGTTTTAATTTTTTTAATTGCTTTGAAATGTTGGATTTTCCAATGTAAATTCGTTTTAAAAAAAACTATTGTAGACATACTAACAAATTTAATTTATAAAAATGAAAGTACAGTGTCTTGATATAGTATTCATACCCCTTGATATTTTCCTCATTTGTCTTGTTACAGCCAAAAACGTAAATGTATTTTATTGGGATTTTATGTGATAGACCAACACAAAGTGGCACATAATTGTGAAGTGGAAGGAAAATGATAAATGTTTTTAAAATGTTTTACAAATAAATATCTGAAAAGTGTGGCGTGCATTTGTATTCAGCCCTTCGGAGTCATTACTTTGTAGAACCACCTTTCGCTACGATTCCAGCTGCAAGTCTTTTTGGGGATGTCTCTACCAGCTTTGCACAACTAGAGAGGGACACTTTTGCCCATTCTCCTTTGCAGAATCACTCAAGCTCCTGTCAGATTGGATGGAGAGAGTCTGTGAACAGCGATTTTCAAGTCAAATTCTCAATTGAATTTAGGTCTGGACTTTGACCGGGCCATTCTAACACATGAATATGCTTTGATCTAAACCAATCCAATGTAGCTCTGTCTGGATGTTTAGGGTCGTTGTCCTGCTGGAAGGTGGACCTTTGCCCTGGTCTCAAGTCTTTTGCAAACTCTAACAGGTTTTCTTCTAATATTTCCCCGTATTTGGCTCCATCCATCTTCTCATCAACTCTGATCAGCTTCCCTGACCCTGCTGATGAAAAGCATCTCCACAGCATGATGCTGCCACCAGCATGTTTCATGGTGGGGGTGGTGTGTTCAGGGTGATGTGCAGTGTTAGTTTTTTCCCACACATAGCATTTTGCTTTTAGGCCAAAAAGTTCCATTTTGGTCTCATCTGACCAGAGCACCTTCTTTCGCATGTTTGCTGTATCCCCCACATGGCTTCTCGCAAACTGCAAACAGTGCTTCTTATGGTTTCTTTCAACCATGGCTTTCTTCTTGCCACTCTTCCATAAAGGCCAGATTTGTGGAGTGCACGACTAATAGTTGTCCTTTGGACATATTCTCCCACCTGAGCTGTGGATCTCTGCAGCTCCCCCAGAGTTCCCATGGGCCTCTTGGCTGTTTCTTTGATTAACGCTCTCCTTGCCCTGCCTGTTAGTTTAGGTGGACGGCCATGTCTTGGTAGGTTGCAGTTGTACCATACATTTTCGAATGATGGACTGAACAGTGCTCCATGAAATGTTCAATGCTTTGGATTTTTTTAGAACCTAACCCTGCTTCCAACTTCTCCACAACTTTATCCCCGACCTGTCTGGTGTGTTCCTTGGCCTTCATGATGCTGTTTGTTACTAATGTTCTCTAACAAACCTCTAGGGGCTTCACAGAACAGCTGTATTTATACTGAGATTACATGACACACTGGTGGACTCTATTTACTAATTAGGTGACTTCTGGATGCAATTGGTTCCACTAGATTTTAGTTAGGGGTATCAGACTAAAGGGGCTGAATACAAATGCATTCCACACTTATCAGATATTTATTTGTAAAGAATTTTAAAAACCATTTATCATTTTCCTTCCACTTCACAATTATGTGCCACTTTGTGTTGGCCTATCACATAAAATCCCAATAAAATACATTTACGTCTTTAATTGTAACATGACAAAATGTAGACAATTTTATGGGTTATGAATACTCTTTCAAGGCACTGTATATCTGAAGCCAAAACTATCTTTTTTTTCATTTTCAATGGAGTAGGAAATGGTAAAAATCTCTCAAGATTTTTTTTCTCTCTAAAAAATTCCCCCCCACAACGTCCTATTTTGGAGACACAACAGAAAGGAAATCTCATCAAAGTGAGTCCAGATCTCCTTAGACAGTTGCAACTGGAACAGGTATCCCTATTGGAAAAATTTCCACTTTC